AAATAAATAAACACATCATGGTAAAATTAATACCTTTTCAGCTTCGCATCGAAGCTAAAATTAATTAGTATTTAGCAATGATTTACTATAACACACTATTAAGAATTGTACTATTTGGAGTACTCTTCTCGCTTATACCTAAAAATTATATTAACTTAAAAAGTAATATTACTAAATTAGTTATCAATAAGTCAAAATTTTATTTAGTACATTTTTTATTAAATAGTATAAAAATAATTATAGATTCTCGTTTAACTTTTAAACATATTGGAAGTAGTATTCATACTAAATATGAATTATATGTATATATGTACGCAGGGTTTATCATGAACCAATCGATTACTCTCAAAATAAATATAATGTTGAAAAAAAATATTTTGAAAATATTGATTTTTTTTAGTTACATTGGTCTTAATTTATCAGCTAATAATTACTATTTAGGATCATACATTATAATTTATAGGGGTATATATATATATTTTTTTAATGGCAACATACATAGTTAAATTATAAAATAGGAACTTATCTAATTAAGAAAATGACTGGTTGATAACCACTTTTAGACCAGTACTTAGAATGTTATTCTCATTTTTATATTAAGGCGAGACAAATAGTATGGCCGGGAAATGTCTATTGATAAATATAATAGCACCCATTCCTCACCTCGTAATTACTTAAAATTTTTAATAACTTTTGAAATACTGTTCCAAAAGTTGTTATTGAATAATTATTTTCTTAATTAGACAATTTCCTATTTTAAAAGCTAGTTTAATATGTATATTGCTATTAAAAAAATAAAGTTGATACCCTAATACATTAAAAGAGACGATTCTAAAAATAATTAATAGTTGATAAATCAAAAATTATTTCTACAATATTGTATTTATGTTGCTAGTAATCGAGTTGTTTATAATAAACCGAGCACTTAGTATAATATAATCATGACATACTAGTTATACAATATTTTATTAGTATATTTTAAATTTTAATATAAAATATGTAAATTTAATTGTCCTATGAATAAATAATAGTACAATGTTAACTATTTTGAAGTTCATATTCACGATCCTATTGAAAAAAAAATTTTCTAATTATTTTCATAAAAACTTAAATTTTTTATCACTTCAGATNATTATTTTTATAAAAACTAAAATTTTTTATCACTTCAGATAATATTTGTAAGTAATAGATTCGTTCGTTACAATTTTTAACGAATTCTTATTAAAAATTTACTTAGGTATCATGTAGAATAAATGAATGTGTCTATGATCACAGACATAGTCATAACCATATAGTCTATTGTATAATGATAACCCTACTTATTCTGTTAATAATAATATCCGATAACTGTAGCCATCTGTTATCGATTTACTTTAATATTTGTACTATCAAATGGCAAATACGGTTTATCATGTACAGTAATACCCTACTGCGCATAATATTTTGATTATTAGAACTTTGACATTTATAATCATCTACTTTTCTAATATAGAATAATAAATACTTTAATTTGGCCACACTTATTTACATTATTTTATCAATGCGTATTTCTTAGACTGATTTAGGTACTAAAATTTGTTATTATTTTATAATGATAGCTTAATGTATATTTAATCAATTTAAGTCTCTGTTAAGTTTCTAAGGGAGAAGAAATTCAATATATTTTCGTAAGTCATTATTTATATAATTAAAATCTTAATTTGTATGACTTGTAATGTAAGCAAAGAGTGTTAAAAGAATTAAAAATAAGTAAATCTGGAAGAACATCTTCCATACATCAATTGAGAAAACTTATGTTGAGTAAACATTTATGGAAATTTATTATTATNTGAGTAAACATTTATGGAAATTTAATATTAAATGAATGTTTTTTCAACATTATTAAATCTTTAAGTTTTTTTAATTCTGTATGATTTAGTGGTGTATTTAAGGGAAGTTTTAAGAGTGTGATGGCCCTGGCACCAAATTTCAAGGAACATAATTTGATAGTAATTGATCTTTTATTTAATTATTATTATTTTAAAAAAGCCTGTCTACTAAAATATAAAAATAATTTAAACATATTATCCCAAGGTTAGAATAACTTTAAATATGCCTTTGGGGTAGGTGTAAACTTACATTTATATATTATGATACTACTTCATTATTTAAATGATGTAAATATTTTCAGTAAACATAGGATCTATATTCTTTTTACACAAAAATATATTAAATGTTGAATCTCAAAAAGTAAATTAGAATAAAAAACGACTTTCATTGTTGTAGACTTTAAAACATTTTTATTATGACTTTCAATTCTTTGAATATCTGATAATTATTAGCTAACTATAAAAAACAATATTGAATATTTTTCATTTTTTATAGTATTACAAAGACTATTTCACAAGATAATGTTTAACAAAAGTTGATTTGATTAATTTTTAGTTACTAACTTAAAATAAATGAAATACACCTAAAAACTATTTATTAATATATATTTTTATTTTATATTTCTTATTTTTTGAATAATAATTGAACAATTTTCAGGACTAAGTATAATTATGGCTTAATGCAAAAAAAAGTTAATTTTAATTAAATAAATTAAACTAAAAAATGTTATTAACTTAAGAGTGAAACTTGTTGTCTATAAATTTGAAAAGTAAAATCTGAATATTTAAGTAACTATATTGTATTAAAAAAGTGATAATTAATAAGATATAAAATGCTCTTCAGAGAAAAGCAAAAATGCACTTCATGCTTTTTTACACTAAGCCATAGCTATAATATTAGTATCTTAAATTTATTTGATTATTAATTTAAATAGAAGAAAAAAGATCAAATTGGTTTTCTATTACATTATGCTGTTAAGTTATTGTTCTTTTGTATATGTTTTTATTATGTTAAATTATTAATTGTTTTATTTATTAACAGATTTAGTAATGGAACAGATAGATTTTAAGAATGAAAGTAATCGATTGGCAACATTTACTGGTTGGCCAATTTCATTCATAATTAGTCCTAAAAGTTTAGCTGCTGCCGGTTTTTATTATACTAAGCATACTGATAAAGTAATCACCAATACTTAAAATTAACCATTTTTGAATAACATTTTGAATAGAAATTATTATATCATTTTAGGTTAAGTGTGCTTTTTGTGATATATACATATGTCGTTGGGAGTTTGGTGATAACGCTATTGATGAACATAAACGTCATAATCCAAACTGTTCCTTCATACTAAGTCAAGATTGTGGAAATATACCTATAATTGAAGGAATTCAACTACGTGGAGAGTTTGTGGAAAATCACAAAGAAACTGGTATTTAAAATTATCTTTTATTTGTAGTATTTAGAGCTCCCATGTTCATGCACTAAAAAAAAATTTAAATAAGTTTGAAAATATAACCAAAAAAATATATAGCTTAATATGCATTAAAAAGTTTAGATATGCGTATTAATATGCACAAAAAATAAAATAGTCATGCACTTAAAATAAGTATTTAAAATAAAAAAATAAACACATAGTAAAATTAATACCTTCTTAGCTTCAGCTAAGTGAAAAGTTGATCAAAATATTTTGATTGATCTTGATATTAACAATGCTGTAATCCGCACGGTTGGCGGTATTTATGTTAAAATTATTTGGGAAAAACAATACCGTTTTGATAATTATTTTTGAATTAATTTTTTTTTTTAGTCCTGTTCTAATCAGGAAAATTTCTTCTGCATGATAATATGACCCACTTTGAGATATTAAAATTCCTCTATCTGTGAAATCTTAGTACACTTACCAATAAAATATTATGAAATTCACAAAAAAGGCAAAGAATAATAAAAAGATTAATTTAACCAAAAAAATAAATATCAATTATCTTGTCAAATTTTTATCTCATTATTAGATAAATTATTAAAAAAAAAAAGGACCTTATTATTTAGTAAATAGTATGTATATATATGTCTAGTTTTTAGAAATTTGTTCAATTGTATATTATATTTGTATAGTTCATTAATTTTAATATATTATTAATAGTTTAAATTAATTTCATTTTTTTTAGGTCAACCCATTGATATTCGTGGTCTAGGTGTACGAGCTCACAGAGTTGCATTTCATTTAAAATATAATTCATATAGTGCTCGAATAAAAACATTTAGGGACTGGAAAAATGAATCTCAAAAACCAGAAAATTTGGCTACTGCAGGATTCTTTTTTACAGGTATTACAATCTTTTTGTTTTGAGTTAGCATTATAATTATACATTTGAAGTGACAAAGGAAAGATATATAGCCCAATAAAACCAACCAATTGTTTGTTAAATAGAAATCCTAATAATCTTATCAAACAATTTAGTCAAATTTCTGTACAGAATTGGAATAAAGCAAGAAATTAAAAGCTATTCGTTAGAAATTCATATATTTAAACAAACCGCTTTTTCCTATATCTAAAGTTAATAATATATTTAAATTTAAAAAATATTAAAAATATTGGTTTTTCCTTTCTTTGAAAAATTTAGTTTTGTAACTTAGAATGTTTTGCATGTTATCATCTCATTTATTAATTCATTTTTTCTTCGAATTATATAAAAATCATTTACCAAAATATATTGCACAAACTCTACTTTATATTTTTAACATTTGTAATAAAAATTGAATTAAATTGCATCATTCTTGTTTTAGGCGGGAATATGGATTTTAAAAGTATATTTTTTAGTTAAAGTAACTGTGTATGAATTATTCTTCTTTGTAAAATGATATAATACGTTATTTGATCATTTTATTAATTTAAGTTACTTTCAATATATAAATGATATAATTAAAAAGTTTTACTTTTTTGGATTTAACCAATGATATTAAGAATAGTTTATCACTTTCATAATTTATTAATTTTGTAAATGACAATTTGTATTCTTTATTTTAGGAAGCAATGATGAAGTACGATGTTATTATTGTGATGGTGGTCTTCAAAATTGGGAGATTGCTGATAATCCATGGGTAGAACATGCTAAATGGTTCCCTAATTGTGGATTTTTAAACTTAGTAAAAGGAGAAAAATTCTTAGATGGAAATTTAATTGAGCGGTTTAATGCCCTTTTAAATAAGTCTAGATCAGATGATTCTACTAGTACAGTAACACAAGATGTAATAGTCTAAAATTTTCAAGTTTTTAAATATTTCTAATAATATTATTTTTTAGGGTCAAGTAGTTAGTATTCATCAAACTGACTTAAATTTTCCTACTTCTTCATATAGGCAAAATGAAATAACTGATCAACAAATAAGCGAACTAATGTCATGTCCGCCAGCTATTGTAAGATTAATTTTATTTTTATATTTTTGTGCTTGTAATTTATAATTTTAAATTTTTTATTTAGATGGCGTTAGAGTTAGGTTTACAACCTTCACAAGTAAGACAAGCTATACAAAGTAATTTACAGGAAATTGGAAGACCTTTTAGATCAATGGACAGTTTCATTCAGCAAGTTTTAACTCAAGATCAAACCTTTCCTACTGATGGGTATATTGTTTCATAAATAAAATTAATTTACTAAAATGAATTAATTTTAATGATTTTAGAGATTCAATGACTTTAGAAGAAATACTTCGTAGAGATAGTCCATTAGTTCGGTCAAGTATCATCCATAATCATGAAACTTCATCAGATTCAGATGATAATGATAGTGATAAGTAAATTTTATTAGTCACTTTATTTTTTATTGAAGTTAAATTGATTATTTGTATGTTTTTCAGTGATACTGATTTATCATTAAGTAATGCAATATCAAGTTCAAGTTCTTGTGAAGAAGAAGTGGCACCAATCTTACAAGAAAGTAGTGAGGTTCATAATTTTACCCAAAATGATAATGAAAACTATCAAGATCAAGAAATTTCTCAAGCTATTCAATCTTTTGATAATAAAACTATTGGTATATAGTTATATGAGGAAAACCCTCACTAAAATTTATATTACCTAGTTAAAAATATATAAGATTTTATTATTAATACCATTTTTTTTTTTTAGTAGAAGAAAAAGAAGAAGAAAATTTTAATACTATAAATTATCAAAATGCAAATTTATCCCATTCAAGTGAGTTAATGATTTTGCTGCTTAAAAACCTTAAACAAACTTTGTAATTCACTAAAAAAAAAAGAATTTTTATCAGTCAAATACTTAGTTACGTTAAAACTAAGTATTGACTTTTAAAAATAGTATACCATCAAATATTCAAGCAATTATTCTGTCGTATAATCATTTTAATAAAAAATATTACTTAACAAAATTGTATTATATATTATATATTATTTTATATGATATAAGGGTAGGGTTTATTATTCATTTATTTATTTTAATTATTGTGATTTCAACAACATAAGATACACATTCTTAGATTATTTGTAGTATATTATTTCAGTTTTAATTTTTTAACATTTTCAGATTTAGAAGAAGAAAATCGTAGGTTAAAAGAAGCACGCCTTTGTAAAATTTGTTTGGATCAAGAGTTAGGTGTTGTTATGTTACCATGTGCACACTTAGTTGCATGTATTACATGTGCATCAAGTTTACCAGACTGTCCATTATGCCGACAAACCATTAAAGCCACTGTTCGCACATTCCTTTCATAATAGGAATTTATTATCTATTGATAAATATATTAAGTATGATTTTTGGGTTTAAAATATAGGTATACATTCCCATCTATGCATAAATCTGGCCAATATCAACCAAAATTATATTAATTATATATGTATATCTAAGTTTAATAAAAATTATATTTTAATATCATTTGACTAAGTGATTTATTATTAAATACAACAAAAGATTGAATTTTAGTCAAATTAATTATATCATACAGATTTTTATTAATAGTTTTAAAATCATATTAAAAATAACTTAACATAGTAAAGACTTTTTTTGTATATAATTATAAGATATTGAAATTGGTATTAATAACTAGTATTTTTGGTCATATTTAAATACTTGAATTTAAATAATATTCTAACACAACAACATTGTAGTTTGTTACAGAAAACACAATTCCTAACTTAATCTAATCCAAATAATATTATCTTTAGTGTTAAAATTGTTATATATTTTTAAGATTTAAATTTAAATGTTAAATTTTTAAGTAGAAATTTATTTACATTTTTGTAAAATATTTATTATTTGTGTTGTCATATTGTACAAATTGTTATGCCTTTAAATTAAACTTTTATTACTATTAATTTAATTTATATATTACAGTTTATATATTATTTCTGTACAAATTAGTACGAGAAATTAATTATACACTAATGTTGTCATTAAAACAACAAATCTTAATAATTTTAGTAATAAAAATTAAATTGTAAATAATTTTCTAGTTTTATGACATTAATCTAAAAATTTTACAGACCAGTCCACTTTTTATTTTAAAGTGAAACTAAGTCATTAAAAATTTTTACTTTGTCATATTAATGCTGTAGTGTCTATTAAAAAACTTTAATAAGTATGTTCTAGCCTAAAAAATCTGATCCTGGTAATATTGGTGTACTCATGGTGGATATGGGGATAGATTAGCTCCCCTGTGAAAAATATATTTTCGCATTAGGATAGATGGTGAATAGTAATTATAGATGAATAACTGTTTTTGTTGTACACACTGTTTGGACTTTGTACACAGGCTCGTATATGAGTACTTTGACTACTTAACACACCTCAGCAGATTTCGTCATTCCTTCAAAATATTGTAAGGAAAAATAATATAATTTCTTATATTATAGTATAAAAATTTACTTTTTTTTTTTAATCTTATATTATTGTGAATGTGCAATGTCAACAGTGCAGTATGTGCATCTCACTTTAAACTAAGTAATATTTTAGTTTCAATAAATATAGTCAAAATATTACTGTGGTAAGAAAAAATTACATGTGTGTTATTTTATACACAATTGTTTATTTCTAAATCGATTAAAAGAAGCTCGGATAAACCATTTCGATCGGAGCGAGAAAAGATATTTTAGGTCTTTGGAACTTGAGCCAGATTCAGGTTCAAGACACTATTTGCGTTTAGGATTTTGTACAAGAGATGACTATGGGTAAGGCTAATACTCCGAAGAGATGTAATTCCTTGCAGGCAGTCTGGCTGCAGACGGCGGCGCTTCGCTATGGTATCGTGAGAAACGGTCGGCACACTTGAAACGACTTGGGTCGTGAAACCGTTGTTCATAGAGAATATTACAACGGCGCTCCAATATACGGTTTGCGCGCCTACGGTGGAGGAGAGGTGGTACAACAGGCAGTGCGTGAGACCACCGACCACCATAGGTCCGTGAGACAGCCGAGGCCGCATTCCAAACTGTCAGACCGTATCACCTCCCCGCTCCGCCACGATTACCCTTGCCACCACACATATGAAAAGGAAAATCAGAGTTCTTTTGTATGCACATCCTGTGTGCGTGTTAGGTTAACCCTGTGTAGGCGATGAAATCGCTGATGCGTTTTTTTATGCGCGTTGCATTCCAGTGAGCCTGGAGACTATATTGTACAAAATTTATCGAGTTAAATGTTGAATATTAGGAAGTAAAGTATCCAACTTTTCAATATTTTTTTTTTTTTGAACGTAGTAATAAAAATATTTAATATTTTTTAAATTTGGAACTCGTAGAAAAATGTTCAAAATATTTACGTTAATGTTTGTATAATATCAACNTTTTTTTTTGAACGTAGTAATAAAAATATTTAATATTTTTTAAATTTGGAACTCGTAGAAAAATGTTCAAAATATTTACGTTAGTGTTTGTATAATATCAANTTACGTTAATGTTTGTATAATATCAACATTTACAGTATCACTTTGTACTTCACATTTATACAGGTGTAATTATGAAGTAACAAACATAAAAAAAGTTAATAGGATAATATTAACATGAATTTAAACAAAATCCTTAGATTATTCTTTGAGTTTGATAGACTGTTTTTAAACAGTTAGACAGTTCATTTTTCATTTGTTTAATAGACTAGCATCTTATGCAAAGACCATCATTAATTTTTGAATGTAAATACGCTAGCTTTTTCGAAGTTGGAATTTGTGAAATTATCTATTCTTTTGTTAATTTCTCTTATTTAAATCCGTTATTTATCCACCATAACGAGCCACGAACCTGACGTATAAAGGAGGGGCTTTTTTCCTTTTAACTAGAGCATAAAATTCTTAAATACAACTCTAGCTATAGAGAAGGATACGCTTTTCTTTTAACGATCCTTAATAAATAAAATAAAATGGGAGCTCAGTGGGGAGGAGGGGTCGCGGCACTGTATGGAAGTAGGACAGTTGGGACAAGTATAAATGATGTCTGAGTGATTAAAATCACTGTTACAAGAAACGCTTGATAGTATTGAATTCTAAGAAATTGGTGCATAATTACAAAAGCAACATCAACTCCTATTTATTTAATTGTATCCTGATTAGTAGTTCTTAGATTTAAAAGTATAATTTATGAATAAATATTTATTATAGAAATTAAATATAGTATGAAATTAATATTTTATAATTTAAAATTGTAATTTTTAACCTATTTTTTTTTGTCCTTTAAAGTTGATTTTTGTGAAAATTTACAATAAAAAAAAGTTATTTAAATAAGTTTAACTTACTATGCTATGTCAATTAGATTTATATAATATTTATAAAAATCAGTGTACTCCTCTTGTAAGGTATTTTAAAATAAAATTGAATATAAGGCCGATAATTTTAACACAAAAATAGGATATTTTTGAATACGGTAGCCATATTAACCATGAAGACAAAATAAAGTTCAAAATTGTTTTTTTCACATTAAAAAATATTACATATGATTTATTTCATATATATATATATATATATAAATGTCAGTATCTCCGGAAAATGTTTTAAGTTAAGTTGAAGAAGTTCATTTTTTGTGGAAAAGTTAACATTTTGAATCTCTTACTATGGGCAGCTGAAGGGTCAAATTTATAAAAAAAAATATACAGAATGATAGGTAAATATCTCACGTATCTATAAAAAACAAATTTAAATCGTTTTTGTCATTTTTAAAAAGGTTATGGTAATTTTAAGTAAAAAATGTCAAAAGTTACAGATTTTTTTGGAGGAGAAACCATTTAAGGGGAATGAGGGAAATTTTTTCAATTTTTGAGGGTAATGTCTTCGACTAAATACGATTTGTGATGTTTTGACATACCGTTAAAAGCAATCGGTTCGATGAGAGCTAATAAGAAGTGGTGACAGACATAAAAAAAAACATGGTAAAATTAATATCTTTTCAGCTTCGCATTGAAGTTAACACTTAAAAATGTCAAAAACCAACGAATAAGTTCTGTAAAAATATTTTATTTTTAATTTTCAACACTTAAGATCTTTATTTTTAATTTCACTATTTTGGTGATTCATTTGTGTTAATATTTAAATTTTGAAAACTTAATTGATAGCCATTATTACAATATAGCTATAATGTAAATTAGTTTATTGTTTTCCAAAACTGAATTATATTTCGTTCCAATGAATGAATTCAGAAATTCATAAAGAATTGTCTACTGGAATGCATGATAAACAGTAAGTTATGTAAACAACTTTGAGGGATACTGTGAATGCGAGTGGTATGACCTTGAATCCCATAAAAGAGGCCCCTTTACCCATTAAAAACCCCTCAGTTGAGCAATATGTTGAAATATTGAGGATATCCGTTTGTTACTTTGGGACGTGCTTCAAAATACATAATATTTTTAAGAGGTACGCTGTAAATAGATAAATGTACGTACACAGAATGAATCTACATTTAATTTTATTACCTTTCGCACTGTACTTAAGTATTAAACAGAAAGACCACCACCATGCCAAATTTTAGTTTATAGTCCATTTTAATGCTTTAAATACAGATAGTATTACACGGTAACACAAATGTACGGTTATTATAGTACTGTAACACAAGAAATACGAGTATGAATTATGAAAAATCATTCAGAGTTTTAATATTTCTATCAGAGCCATATTATTATGGCTATCACAAGATTACAACTATTATTTGGCTACCACCATAATTGGTTATTAAATGTTTCATCTATAGTTACCAGATTATATATATTTTTTTTAAAGATCCAGTTTTAAATAAATATTTTTTAAATAAGCCATATAGCATTCATAAGTATATATCCTTTGAATCGTTCATAAGCCTTATTTTAAATTTCAGTTATAATTTCAATATATGATTTATTTTTTTTTTTTTTGTTATCACTTCATTTATAAAATATCATTAAAATTGAATATAATACTACATTTTTTTTTTATTAAATATGAGTAAAATAAAAAAAATTTTACTGTAAAATACCTTTATAACATTTATTTGAAATCTGGAAAACTTTAGTGGATACCTAACAAACTTCTAAATGTATGCCTTAAGAAAATACATGTAGCACACTATTTTCATGAAATAGCTTCTATTTGTATTTTTATGGACTTTTTTAGTCTCATAACATTTTTTACATTAGTAGCATGACACAGTCAATGAGAGGAAGGACAGTGTTAATTAACCTCTCCTCTCTGCGACATGGTATATTATTATTATTATTATTCCTAAAATATACAATGAAGTTACTTAAGTTAGTATTCACTAACATTTTTCTTATAAAATAAATTATCAACACTCTAAAATGTATGTTTTGAAAAAAGCTAAAAATCACATATTACAACATTTTATTCAGTTAAATCATTAAATAGAAATTAAAATATAAAACTAAAATGACAGAGATCATTAAATTAAAAACACCCAATGTTAAATTAATTAATAGTAAAATTTTACACTTTTTATGTGTTTTTTCATGCTAACAAAATGTTTTTATACTGCCAAATTTTGTGTAAAAATCGTAGGTTTAAAGAAAGTAGGTGTAGAATAGAACTGCTGTGTAACTATAAATTTCAATCATATGTTACATCATTAGATAACTTATATAACAAAA